CCTAACCCTAACCAGTCAGACTACACCCAGAAAACAGCCTCTAGACAAACTAACCGGCAGACCCGGGCCCTAACCCGGGCCCTAACCCTAACCCTAACCCAAAAAACAGCCTCTACACAAACTAACCGGCAGACCCCGGCCCTAACCCTAACCCTAACCATAAAAACCGCCCCTCCCTGAGCTAACCGGCCGACCTGAACCCTAACCCCTACCCCTAACCCTAACCCTAACCCCTAATCCTTACCCTAACCCCTAATCCTAACCATAACCCCTACCCCTAACCCTAACCCTAACCCGAACCCTAAAAACAGCCTCTCCAATCGCTAACCGGCCGACTGGGGCCCTAACCCTAAACCTAGTCCTAACCCTAACCCTGACCGAGAAAAAAGCTTCTCCACCGGCTAACCTGCAGACTCGGGCCCTAACCCCTAACCCTAACCCTAACCCCTAACCCTGACCTGGAGGTTCTTGGTCCCCTGGAGGTCTCTCTGCCTCGTCGCTGTCCTCCTCACAGCCGCGGTCCTCTGAAGCTTTGCAGGCCCGCGGAGACCACGTCACTTTGTTCTCCTTTTTCAGCCTCCTGCGGGCATTAGCGAACCACGTAGACACCTAAAGGAGGAGGGAAGCAATCCAGGATCAGAGGAGAACTCAGAAATACACAAATCAAAGAAGAAATAGAACAGAAGAAAGGTTATCTTAAAAAAACAAACAAAAAAAAACGTCATAATTTAATTAAAAATCAGCCAAAAATCATGACTTTAACCCTGTAAAGCCTGATCCAAGAAAAAAACAAAACAGAAAATTACTTTTTTTGGTTTGAATTCATTATTTGGCCTTTTAACAAAATATGTAAAAAGAAAAAGCAGAAATACATTTTTATTATTAATAATTTATTACTATGCGATTAGTCAGGATTATTTTTTGTGTAGTCTTCTGTCCCCTGTTATCAGGTGTATCTGATTGTGTACAATAGGATTTCGAGCAACGTTTTTACCATTAAATTATGCAAAAGGTGTCAGATACAAAACATTTCAGAAACCGTATGTATCAGATATGATACATTTGGCATTATAAGGTTAACCGTTAACTCATTGGCTGCCAAAGACGTCTATAGACGTCTTTTATGTTTTTCAACGAGAGTGGCTGGGGGACGATCTGCTAAATCTTGTCCGTAAATATCGGCTTCTAGACAGAGTATGTAGTAACAAACTGACCCTCTAGGGGGCAGTGCCACTTTTGATGGGAGATGAGCATAGACTGTAGGCAAATAAGAAAAAGGGAACGGTTCGCTATGAGAGAACATGTCGCCGGTGAGACGCAAGTCCAGGAAGAACGGAATAAGGTAGAAACAACTTGAAAGAAGAGAGTCTACTCTTTCTTTTGGTGTGTTCGGTGTTTACATAGTCATAGCACAAACTATTCTGTGGCTCTTGAAAAATCAGTCAAAATGCTCAAAAAAACTCTGGCAGTATGGGACTCTGTAATGAAAATGGCTGGCAGCCAATGATATTAACACTAATGATTATGGTAGAAGTGACAATGCTACTCCCTCCACCGCCATCTGACTGTGGATGAGGTTACAGTGGGGGAAATAAGTATTTGACCCCTTTCTGATTTATAACTATAATCATATGTACATTCTAAGAGTGAAAGACAAAATCCCAAAAAATCACATGATATGAATTTATAAAAATTGATAACCATCTGATGAGGAAAAACAAGCATTCTTTGTAAGTGGGCAAACCTGCAAAATCAGCAAGGGGTCAAATACTTCTTTCCCCCACTGTAACTACATTGTGAACCCCACTTCCAGGAGTCGCCAGGGCCAATTATATCAGCCTGACAACCCCCCCGACCTGAGCCCCGTGGAGTGGAAAAGGCGGTTCCAGTGGGGAGAAAGCGGCCTGTCGGCGTCTGAAACCCAAACGGGGCGCGGGCCAATTTGGCATGCAGAGGTCTGCAGAGAGCCGGCCTGATGAAATATATATGCGATCCTCTTCAAACGTGTATTGTTCCGCTCCGCTGTGTCTTATCAGGCTCCCCAAGATGTTCCAGGCTGTGGAGAGGAGATGGACCAGTAGGATGGAGGATCTCCGAGTGCTAATAGAACAGAATGGAGGCTCCTATCCTCTAGCACCTCACTTATTCAGACGGATATAGATCAATAAAAAAAACAAAAGGAAATAGATAAATATTAAATTAAACTCCAGTCAACAAGTTGCATAAGAAGCTTTGAAAGTGCATGGCAATATTTAAAAATGTTCTTTTTTGTTTTACTGATTTCACACCAATCATCAGAAACCCCCAAAAAACCCTTAACTGTTAATATTCTTAAATGCAAACATCAGAAAGATTAGCGGTCTGTCTTTTGAGTATTTGCAGGATAGTGCTGACCACTTTTTGTTTTACTGATTTCACACCAATAAAAATTTTTTTAAAAAAACGTAACGGTTAGATTCTTAAAGGCAAACATCAGAAAGATTAGTCATCTGTCTTTTTGCCCCCAGAATTTGCAGGATAGTACTGACCTCTCTCTGTCACTTTGTTTTACTGAATTCACACCAATAAGAAACAAAC